CAGAGAATACCAGAAAGATGTTTACCTGTGTTTTATTGACTATGCAAAGGCATTCGACTGTGTAGATCATAACAAATTATGGATAACATTGTGAACAATAGGAACTTCAGAACACTTCTTTGTGCTCATGCAGAACCTGTACATAGATGAAGAGGCAGTCAGTAGAACAAAACAAAGGGATATTGAGTTGTTTAAAATCAGGAAAGGTGTGTGTCAAGGTTGTATCCTTTCACCATACTTAGTCTGTATACTGAGCAAATCATCTGAGAAGCTAGACGACATGAAGAAGAATGAGGCATCAGGACTGGAAGACAACTCATTAACAATCTGCAATACACAGATGACACAACCTTGCTTGCTGAGAGCCAAGAGGAGTTGAAGCACTTACTGCACTTACTGATGAAGATCAAAGACTACAGCCTTCAGTATGGATTACACCTCAACACAGAGAAAGCAGAAGTCCTCACAACTGGACCAATAAGCAACATCATGATAAATGGAGAAAAGTTAGAAGTTGCCAAGGATTTCATTTTACTTGGATCCACAATCAACGGCCATGGAAGCAGCAGTCAAGAAATCAAACAACTGGGCAAATCTGCTGCAAAAGACCTCTTTAAAGTGTTAAAAAGCAAAGATGTCACTTTAAGGACTAAGATGTGCCTGACCCAAGCCATGGTATTTTCAATCGTCTCATATACATGCAAAAGCTGGACAATGAATAAGGAAGACCAAAGAAGAATTGATGCCTTTGAATTATGGTGTTGGAGAAGAATATTTTATATACTATGGATTGCCAAAAGAAAGAACAAATCTGTCCTGGAAGAAGTAGAGCCAGAATGCTCCTTAGAAGTGAGGATGGTTAAGACTTCATCTCATGTACTTTGGGCATATTATCAGGAGTGACCAGTCCCTGGAGAAGGACATCATTCTCGGTAAGGTAGAAAAACTGAAAAGGAGGAAGACCCTCAACAAGATGGATTGATACAGTGGCTGCAACAATGGGCTCAAACATAGCAACGATTGTGAGGATGTCACAGGACAGGACAGTGTTTCCTTCTATTGTACATAGGGTCGCTATGAGTTGGAACAGACTCTACAGTGCCAGCACCAATATTATATGCTCATAATGGCCAGTTCTTTTAACAGTGGTTTCCTAACGCCTAGGGGGTAGTACAGTTGTCACTAGCATGATTAATCAGTGGTAGTGTTAATCCTTATATTTCTTACACATAATTTGAAAAATGCCCCCAAACCCAAAACAAAACCAAAACGAAAGCTATGAGGAATTATATTATATTGCATTTGTTGTATTATATATTACATTATATTATATGCATTGTGTGTGTGTGTGTGTGTGTGTGTGTGTGTGTACCTGACTCTTCTCCTCTGGTTGAACGCTGACTGATACAGTTTTAAGCATCCAAAATCTAACTAACTTGTGATACACTTTTATCTGGAATTTAGAAAACAGGACCAGTTTTAATATACTTTTCTTCTAATTTATAGTATCCAGTAGCCTCTGGTGACATAGTGATTAAAAGACCGGCTGCTAACCAAAAGGTTGGCCGTTTGAATCCACCAGGCACTCCTTGGAAACCCTGTGGGACAGTTCTACTCTGTCCGATAGGGTCGCTATGAGTCAGAATCGACTCGATGACAAACCCTCGATGATGGGTTTGGTTTTTGGTTTAGTGGTCTCTAAATCCATATGGTTTTTCTTAAAAGCTCTCCCTTCTTCTCGTCCAAACTGGCCCCTCCTTGTCTCACGCTGAGATGATTTTGCTTCTTCCTAAGGTCTTTCCCTGTCTCAGTTCACACCCTTTTTCAATATTATCTACCTAAAGGGTTTCTTACATCTTACCACTTACTGCTCTGTTTAACACGGGCATATCATTACCTACTGGTTAAAATAGAATATTGTTTAAGATGACATTTAAGACTCTTCAAAATACTGCCCATAATTAACAGTGAAAATGAGCCATAATATAGTAAGAACTTCTATGCAAGACATTCTGAGAAGTAATTTTTATAAATTATTGAATACTCACCATAATCCCATGAGGTGGGTATAATAATTATTCTCATTTTACAGGTAGGAGAACTGAGGCAGAGAGAGGTTAATTAACTCCCCCAAATCACACATCTAGCAAGTGGTATAATCTGAGTTTTCACTCCAGACTGTCTGACCCCAGAGCCCATACTTTTAACCATTCTCATGATCCCCAATTTGAATTCTACACTCTAAATTGACCTGGATTCTCACTGTTCTTGAATACACGGTGCTCATTTCCTCAACTGCTTATAGAATTGTCCATTCAAGGGATTCACTTTCTCTCTGGTCTCTACCTAACCAAACATAGGCCTGATTCAGTCCTTCCTTCTCCAAAATAATATTCACCCATTGCTACAAGCAATGCACATTTCACTCTTTTCTCGTTGCCTATTGTATCGACTGTTATTTA